TCGATTCATATAAATAGAACTTGATTGATTGATTGAACCCTAACCCAATTATTGGATGGGTTGGATGGACATTCATTTCCCCCTCCCCGATGAATTATAATCACTTTGATGGTTCCTTAATAATCTAGCGCCATCATCAGTTCAAAATTTCAATTTGTTTTAATACTTTTGTTAATGACAAAATAATACTAATGACATCTCATCAGCTTCTGCAGTACTTTGTGTTAAGTGCTAATTTGCATGTCAGCCAAAGTTAGCATGCTAAACACGGAACATAGTGAGCCTTGTGAATATTAAATAAACATGTTTACATTGTCATCGTGGGCATGTTTGCATCTTGATTCATATTTGATCAGCAGTTTGACAGTTTGATCACGAGCCTAAGAGCTGTGATTGACGGCTGCTCCTCGGCTCTGGTTGTTTTTCTTTGGATGTGTTGGAATCTTGCAATGTCATCAGAAGTGCTTAAAGGAGGAGGAGGAACCTGCTCTTTTCACAGATTATCTGTCTCGTGTACTATCAGGATATAGTAACAGTTTTAGCAATTATGACAAAAAGTTATTTTTTACTAAAGCTGTAGCTTTAAGGTTTTACCTGTTGTTACATTCCACCACTTAAAGTAGAATTAGTGGCTTTTCTCAAAGCATTTGATTAATGTGGTGGAACCATTAAAAAACAAAACTATATTCCCCTCAGTGGAGTGGAATAGAAGTATAAAGATGCACAAAAAGATAATCAGTGCTTCTAAAAGTTAGCTGTAGTGGGAACGGCAGCAGGAGCAATAGTAGTAAAGTAGCAGTGACTTCCATTACGTTATGTTTAGCTTCCATCCATCTTACGGTTTTCTTTACAATGAACACGATTGACGATCAGCACAGCAGAACTGACATGCGTCTACAATCTACACCCTGTGTTCCCTCTGCTGTGTGTTTGCAGTACGTTGTGTCACACGTCTCTGCATCAGTGACACCAACACAAACTCCTGTTGGTGTGTTGTTCGTGGCAGATGGAGTGATTGTGACTGTGCTATCACAGCGCCCTACTGGGCCTGTCCCCCCCCCCCCCTTTTTTGCCAGAGCATCTGTGCTGAGCGGGCCACTGGATCAGGATTTGACAGGGCCCCGCTACAGGCGGCGGGCCGTGTGTTTCAGCAGACCACAGTCCCTCTGGGGCTGCAGCGAGGGGACAGAGCAGGGAACAGGTTGCTTTGCTGCAGGGCCAAAACAGCCGCTGTCTGTTGTACGTGTGTCCGTGAACACACAGACAGAAGCTCAGTGCACGAACACATTAGCTCGTGTCAGCGAGCGAGTCCTCCTCGACTTCAGCTCAGAGTGTAAAAGGGCAGCAGATGTCGAGTGAAAGCGCAGCACTTGACTGTATTGTTCTGATGTATCATTCTTTGTGTATCAAAGAAGGAACAGAGAGGAGCTTCACGTACTGCTGATAACAACTTTTTGATGAGATAAAATTGTGATGGTGTGACGTTGCATAGAAAAACTTTTCCAATTCATGGTTTTAATCAGTTTTATATACTCGTAGATGAAACCCAATTAGGCTTAAATGCATTTTTTGCCTCACAAAGGCCAAATGTAAATGTAACCAAAATCATATCATATTAAAGAGCCAGATGTTTTGAGACACATTCCAGATGTTAAAAGGATGTAAACCCACTCTTCTCTCTATGCATATGTAATGTGATGTAATCTTGTCGGGGGAGTAACTCCATTGATGTCAACAGAAGGCGTGATGTACAGTCCTAGTGTGAATACAGAGATGCTCACGAGTCTCTTAAGTTTGTAATGAGCTTTCTATCATCTGCTGCATGCCATCCGGTCTGCTAAGAACGCTGCACAGCTGTATCTAAGAGATTCAAAGCATGCAGCCCACTGTAATATCATCACTCCTTTATCTATTAGCAAACAGCATCAGCATTGATTAGTTGTTTGGTATTTGATCCCTTTAAACTATTACAATTCAATATGACAAAACACGCACGATGAAAGCACATGTATTTTGAATTGTAATGTTGAATATACATGTACAATATAGAAACGCAGTGTTCTGAGAGCAGAACGGAACTACAACTAAAAAAACGTTACTCAGGGTAACAGGGACAACCGTATTGTATAATCACACTGGGTCTCCAGCCAATGAAATGTATTACTAAAATGCAAATGAACACATCCCTCCAGTGTAATGGTAATCTAATACACCTGTAAACTGCCTGTTGCCAACTATATAATAAACGTTATCTTTCTCTCTGTTTAACGGCAGCCAGCAGACGGTGGCAGCAAGTCACCTCTCAAGTCACCGTGTGTGCGACTCGAGTCCAGGTCGCAGACTCGAGTCTCCATCTCTGGGTGCATTATCATTCCAGCTCAGTGCAACCGTTGAGCGATCTGTTAGAGAGCAGTGCAAACAAAACCGTCCTGACATTACCCCATCCATCTGTGTCGTCTGTGTATTTGTGGGAGATGATGGATAGACATTAGTGGGTTTTAGCACAAGTTATTCTTCTGCTGGGGGATTTTCACCCTCCGGATTAAAAGATTTGCCGGCCTCCATTTGCATTTGTTCCGAGAAAATGTGTGTGAAGTGTCTTGAATAACTTCTGGGTATGTGTGATTAATTGTTTGTATACCTACCAAGTGTTTATACTTCAATCTGTCCTTGAAGGCATTTGTGGTGTTGCACTCATTTGTGTGAAGAATGGGGGGGGGGAAAGGGAGAGCTTGAGAGATAAACTCAAACCCTGTCTATTTTCACAAGGCCAATCTTTTGTCTTTTTTTGTGTCAGTAAGTTATCAAAAAGTCTGAAAACTGTCGGCTGCAGACCCCACCTGGTCCCGCAGTTGAAAGCGTCTTTCAAACGCTGTCGGACAATCCACAAGTGCTTTGTTTGAAGTGTACTGACGCTTTGAAAATATGGCAAATCCTTTCAAAAAGCCTTTTTCAATAGAAGATCTGATGAAACCCTGGAAATCAATAGATTTTTTTTATGAGACAAAACAACATTTCTTGGGAAAATGTTACCGGTGTGTCCATAAAAAAAAAAAAAAAAAAACCCCCCCCCCCCCCCCCCCCCCACTCTATCTCAGGATTTTATGTCACCAACCAAAGTGAAGCACAGATCCTCTTACAAATTAAGTGGTGTTTTATTACAAATATCATTTCAGTGCTGTTCCTTTTGGGCAGATGAGCTGCCGGAGCGCGCACACAGCACTTGTATGACAAATCCATTGTGGGGGATAAAAATGTGACTTCTCAGCGGAGCAGTCTGTGTGGCAGATATCATTTGGCCGCCAACGCAAACCAACATCCAGCCACCTAGCATATCTGAAATAGATGGTGCTGTGGGCTCTGGAACCAATGGGGTAGAATACAAAACGCGAGTAACAAGAATGCTGCGTATTGTCTGGGCCAGAGCAGAAGACAATGCCGGCCTTCATTGGCTTGTGTCCATTGTGCTTGAGATTTCTTGGGCTTGGCTGAAGAAGAGAAAGGTCTTCATTCAGCCTGCCGGAGGGGGGGGCTTCTTCAAACCTGCCATTGTCATCGCTTCTTCTCCCTGCGTCTCGATATTTCGCTGTCTCTCGAGGCTGATTGATGCAGAGACGTGCAGCGTTATGTCACTCAGCAGCACACTGAAAGCCTCTTGACTTGTTAGTGCTGCTGGTTTCTTTAGTTTGGTGCCTCACCTATCCGTCAGTGTTTTGCCCGCCAGTGAAGTTGAATTACACGCACGGTCAACTCCTCATATTGGATATTGGTGTATTGATGTGGCCTCTCTCCGCTCAGTGCCGACAACGTTTCTTTCTCCTCCGTTACTCGTAGCAGTTTTGAGCCACAACTCTGTGACAAGAAACTTAAGCTGTTGAACGACATCCAACGCCGTGTAGCTGTGCCCCTAGAATAATTTAGGAGTGATGTCATTCCACCGTTGGAAAAAAGCCCAAGCAGAGCTGGATGATGAATGGAGTGACTGGGCCTCCAGATTGTGAGCCTCTTCAGAGCAGCTTCTCCTGAATGTTTCAGTCAAAGGAACCAAAGACGGCTTCAAAAAAGCCTTTCGTCTTTTGAGGAAGTGTCTCAAAAAATCGTGACAAGCTTGTTAAAGCAGCCCCCCCCCCCACCACCACCACCACCACCACCACCATGTTGTGCTAACAATGCCCCCCCTCACGGCTGCTACGCCACCATCCTGCTTCAATGTCTCTATTCAGGCCCGTCTGCTGGACCACTCAGACAAAGTGATGGTAACAGATGATTTAGCTCAGTTCACATTAAGGGTCTAACAAGTGCAGGAATTTAGAAATGTTTCTGTGGTCTGTGGCCAATTCTTCCGCCATCGCTCCAGTGACCAGTTTAGTTTTAGTTTTTTTAAAGGTGGCCCACTGGCTGCCTCATAACCTAAAGGTCGTAATGTTTAATTACAATATTGTATAGAAATAAAGAGCCCAGTTCACTCTGGATTATTAGATAAATCCACCCACTAGTACCTTTTTAATTTCACCATTGAAATATGTTAATATCTCTCTTGTTTCCTTTAATACACAAACGGAAATTCAAAGATAACAGGAAGTTTGTTTACGGATTTAACCGCTGACATTTTACAGTTAGAAAATGAATGTGTCAGTGCTCTCTGTTGGACAAACTACACTACGTAACATCTGAATTACCTCAAACATACTTTAGGCATTTCTGTCCTTTCATTTCTTTTGATTTATCAGGCTCCACAGATATCAATACATCTGTGATAAGCTATTAATATCAGCCGAGCGAACGCATCGGTCGGCTCTGGTAAAACACATCTGCACAACTGCACAGAAGCGTCAAAATTAACACCTGCTGTATTAGTGAGATTATCACACCTGCACATTAAACCTGTTGATTGACTGATGACATGCTGTGTTTGCTTAGTTGTGGACCGTTCATTGAATCCACGGTTTGTGCATTTTTTTAAAAACACATTTCTTCTGCATCTCTCTCTCTCACTTCAGGTTGTGCAGTCTGACTCTGAAGAAGCTGGTTGTGATGAGGGAACTTGATAAAGAGCTGATCTCTGTGGTCATCGCGGTTAAAATCCAGGTATGTTGCACACAGACAGACATGCACAAACAAACAGCAGTCATAATATGTCCCCCGGTCCTTTAAATCTCAGTCCCTGATGAAGGGCAGAAGAATGAATAATGGTTTATATTTTATTGTTGACCATTTTAAATCCATGTTTTCTTTTTCTACCTTCAAGGCAAGTTGTAAGACACTTGTTTGAGATTTAATGCAGTATACTGAACATCATATGCAGTTATGTCTTTTGTTTAAGAAATGTCCTCTTGCAACCATAACCTAACTTTGACAATGATCAATCCAGTTACTGAGCAGAAAATATGTAAAATGCATCAAACATATACTGTAAAATAGTTTGCTTTGTGAATTTGTACATCATCACTGTGAAGCACATGAGATTTAAATGTTCCACTTGTTTTAATATGCGTGAGTCCTGTTGAGTTATTTATTCCTCGCACTGTTGAAACCCACCAGCAGAGATGCACAATGATTCCAGGGGAAGAGCTCCCACTGAATTAAACACCAACCACTTATTTTACAGGGCTCCAAACGGATCTTGAGGTCCCATGAGATAGTGCTGCCACCCAGTGGGTCTGTGGAGGCTGATCTGGCTCTCACCTTTTCGCTGCAGGTAAAAAACAAAATCCCCACGCTGATGTTCGGTTAAAAATAAACATCGTAGGTTGCTTCAAAAAAAACAACCACCATTTAGCAATATGTTTTTGTTCTTTATTTGATGTTTTTTTTTAATCTCATTCAGGTGAGAGCTTACAGAGTTAAGTATGTGTGGGATGAGTTTTATTACAGCTGTTGCCATGGCAACCGCTCAAACTTGCATATCAATTTTTGCTGCAACACTGCATCTCCTTTTGTGTGTGCACAAAGGACCACAAGATAAGTGGTAATCATCTATATTTTTGTTATTAACAAATCCATTAAAAAGATCCAAACCGACAAGGTGCTAGTCACTCTGATAGTCACTCTGCTAGTCAACTGCTAGTCACTCTGATAGTCAACTGCTAGTCACTCTGATAGTCACTCTGATAGTCACTCTGCTAGTCAACTGCTAGTCACTCTATAGTCACTCTGCCTCACGACTCCTCCGGCATCCCTCATTCCCACTGAAGATGCAAAAACAAGTCGCAAATATATACTTTTGTTTTTAAAGAAGGAAGCAATTTCCTCGAAATGGCAGTTTTATTAAAGACATATTTCCTCAATGATCTTCTTCCAGTTCTAACCGTTTTGGTTGCTTCATAAGAGAGATTTCTGTGTTTGTGTTGTTGTCCGTGCTCCTCTCACTGGTTTAAAGTGGGTTTTTCAAAAAGGTGATGTGACATAATTCGCTGCATTAAAAACAAAAACAGACATGAAGGGTTGTGTGCTTATGTTGTCTCTCAGTCAAATCAAGATACAAATAGGTAAAACACACCCTCTTACTTTATCGCTCTTTACTCATGAATATTTAATGTTTTACAGAAATACTTTAATTTAAAACCAAGGTTTCATGGACTTGAAGGAGTAAATTGTGGGGGTTTTCTTTCTTTTTTTTTCAGGGACTATTTTCAGCTCCTGATTTGGTGCTCTGGTTAATATTTGCAGTCTGTGAATGTGGGATCAACTCAAAATTATTCTGCAGTTCATCTTAATGAAGGAACATGTAACAGTGTGTTTAACGTATGTGTTTGTAATAGTTTTTATACAACAATGGAGCTCTACGGGGAAGAGGAATAAGATATGACACAGGGATATTTATATATATATATGTAAATATTTGTAAAAAGCTACCAGTTCAATTCTAGGTCTTCTTTTTTCCTGTTTCCTCTCCCTCAGTACCCTCACTTCTTAAAACGAGAAGGAAACAAGCTGCAGATCATGCTGCAAAGACGGAAGAGATACAAGAACCGAACTATCTTGGGCTACAAGACTCTGGCAGTGGGATCTATTGATATGGCCGAGGTACAGTTTGACCGCGCTGCAACAAACCTGCATCCGTGTTCGTGTTGGCTGATGGCGGGTAATATTGTTTGTATGGTGTGTAGAGGATAGCAAGGTCACCTCAGCCACACTTTTTTGTTGAGTCCTGAAGTCTCAGGAGAGGAGAAAGCTCAAAGGTGCATCAGCTCTAACAGGCTGTTAGAGGAAATATAATGAGAAAATGGTGGATGTTGAAGCTGCAGGTTGACATTAGCAGACTTTGTCCTCCTCATCTTCACCGGGGGGATTGGCTGTGCCTCGTGTACTTAACTCGTGGCTCTTTGAAAAGCTGTCTTAAAAAAGTCCTTTTGCCCTTTAATTAGTCTGGAAACTAATAGCTCTATCTTTGAAAGGCTTCAGATAATTTCTCTCCATCTCAGCACAAACCTGCTTTTTGTTTTTTCAACTTCTCCTTAAAGAAGTGAAGAAAGCTCCCTTGTTAAGAAAAAACTCCTCCGTTGTCTGCTTGTTCCTTGTGTTTTAAGTAACCAAGAATACATGAATACAAGTCTTCCTTCAGATGAATACCTTAGTGTCAGTGCACATGATGCTCACTCAGGATTTCGCATATGGCTCACAAAGCTCAGTGGAGCTTATCAAGGTCAAATCTCAGCAGCTGAGGCACGAAAAAGAAAACATTTCGGCGCCTGTGAGGAAAAGAAACAAAAAAACAGAGAGCTGAAGCTACTTTACAACAAGAAAGAAATAGTTCTCACTTTTTCAAATCAAGGATTCAATGAGGCTGTAACACAACATGCCACACAAGATGCAGTGTAAACAGCTGAAGGCTGACTTGGTCTCACTAGAGCAGAGAGACTTCCAGATTTGAGGCGGTGCTGACCTGGAGTGTAAAATATGTCCAGCATGAATGACGCTCAGTGAACACTGCATAGATGCTGTTGGGCAAAAACACTCACCTGCTTTAGTGGAGCCTCAGTTTTTAAACAGAAGAAAAGATGGTGGGTGGTTCTACTGAGCAGCTCCCAGGTGTGAATGTGTAGGTTTGTGTAGATACGGTAAAAGAAGCAGCCTGTAGTCAAGTAAATGTTACTTTTAGAGCCTCGTATCACAAATCACAAATTTGCTGCACAGCGTACATCGTCTCTGAAACGTCTCGTTTCAGAGACGTTAAAAACTCCCCCAAAACACCATTTAACAGGGAAAATAAAGAAACCTCAGGAAGAGCAACAGATGAGGGATCCCTCTCCCTGGACAGACAGACATGCAATAAATATCACGTGGAGAGAAAAAGATAGATAATATAATGAAAGCATAGGCAATCAGGATGACAAAAAATATACACAGAATTAAGGACAACTTTACAGGATTGTCTACTTACGAAAAATGTAACGCACTATCTCTGGGCCTGCAATCCCTGATGGTTTATAGAGTTTACTGCAGGAGGAGACCTTCGTATTTCTGCCTTTCATGCATTACATAAGATCCTAAAACATAGAACTTCAACAGTTTTAATGTCTCTAAAGGGTGGATGCTTCTTGAATTAAAACAACTGAGAAGTGAGCTCAGGTCACTGAAGTGAAACATTCCTCCCCCTACATTTCCTCCTCTCTCTCATGTTTCTGCCTCTCCTCTCCTCTCTCTCACCAGGTGATGCAGCACCCGACAGAGGGAGGCCAGGTTCTGCCTCTCTGCAGCAACCAGAAAGACCTGCTGGGGAAGGTGGCCGAGATCTGGATCTTTTCTCTGTCCAGTCAGCCAATAGACCACGAGGACGCAGCCCTGCAGGGAGGACAGAAGATCAAATGCTCCGGTACACTTTGCCTCTCATTACCCACGGTGCTCCGAGGTTAACGTGGCAGGAAGCCATCGTAATCACCTAATATGCTCGATGTGCTACGCAGAGCACGGATCAGGCTGTTTTTTCTCTCTCTAAGCGTGCAGAAAGCAATTTAAATTCAGGTAGCATACAGTGCACTGTTTGTACGTCATGTTCATTCAGAGCCATGGCTGCGTGTCAAATTTAAAAGGGTCATTGAAATATGTATGAGGCGTCTTCTTCACTCCGGCCTTTAATCTTCCTACTTGTCCTCCGCTTTAGATAACTACTCAGAGGAAGAGTACGAGAGCTTCTCCTCGGAGCAGGAGGCCAGCGACGACGCCGTGCAGGTTCAGGTGAGTCGGCCTCGACGTCAGTGAGGCAAGCAGACTTTTAAGGGTCGTGATGCAATTACAATCAATTAACCTCATCCTGGTCAAGTCGGCTAATAATTGAGCCCATCTGTTCTTGCGATGCATAATTTGTTTAGTAAAACTTCGAGACAGACAAGTGTAAATAATGTATCGTCAGGCTGAATTTTAACTTCATTTGTGTCTTGTTTTTCAGGATCTGGAAGATGACGAGTACGATGTGAGAAAGCCAAAGAAGCAGAGGAGGTCGATTGTGAGGACCCCCTCCATCACCAGAGTAAGAGACGAGGCCCAGATATAAGATAAAGAAACAATACTTTTGGTTTGAGCATCCCTACCTACAGGGAAAACCAAGACAGCGACTATGCAGTGAACCCACACGGTGACCTTCAGTTTCATGGTGGTAAAACTGGTGGTTTGGCCAATTTCTTGAAAAATGTTCTAGGAAAGTTACTACTTGGCGGCAGAGGTGTGGACTTGAGTCACGTGACTTGGACTTCAAGTCACGTGACTCCAGTCACAAATTTGATGACTTTAGATTTGACTTGAATCATTGACTTTTGACTTGACAAAATCCTTAAAGACTTGCAGCTAGACTTTGATTTTAACACCATTAAGTCATGACTCCACTTGGATTTGAGCCTTTTAATTTGAAAATACTTATGAAATGCATAAATGTATATATAACTACAGTTAAACACTCTTCTAAAATAAACACCACTTATTTACATGTATTCATTCGCAGATGGTCAAGTCATATTGAAACTTTGAAAGAGCTTTAATGCTCCAGTTTGAATGTGTTTTTGCTCGTGGGTGATGTGGCTTCATAGAGCTCAGTGAGCAGGAGATGAAAGCCCCAGAAAGCAGATGAGGTACGATGTTGCTTGATTATTGATTTACACGAGCACACGCAGCGAAATCGATACCCTGCCAAAACTGCCGGTAAAATGACTAGAATGAGAGCTGAGAGCGCTGAAGTAAATCATAACTGCTTCTCAGACTGACTGGTGGTTGTGTGTTTGCTCTCCTGTGTTTTAGCAGCAGAACTTTAAGCAGCGCGTGGTGGCTCTTCTGAAGCGCTTCAGAGTTTCAGATGAGGTGAGTGTTTCTGTCTTGTGTGACCTCTACTGTGGAGCTGCTGAGCTACTAAACATGTTAATGTGTGTGTGTGTGTGTGTCTGTGTGTCTGTGAAGGTGCTGGACTCGGAGCAGGACCCTGCAGAGCCAACCCCTGAGGTGGAGGAGGACCTGGACCTGGACCTGGATAGCATAGAGTTTGAGAACCCGAGTGACAGTGGCCCGGAGCTGGACGACGACGACAGCGTCCTCAGCACACCAAAACCCAAACTCAAGTGAGTGTTTCTCACCAGTAATGTTTGTGTTTGTTTGTGAAACACGTAAAGTATACAGTGTGGGGACTGCAGGCCAAATAATTATGATAATAAAGTAAAAATGCTTCACAAAAAGTCTGAATTGTATTGTAACACTGAAATTCCTAAAAATAGGACCTGCTGTTTACTTTCACCTGTAGTTCCTGAATGAAACTGCTCACAACCAGGTCTTTAGTAACCAGGTCATGATTTATGGAAAGAGGTATTTCACCGCCACAAGCCTTGTTCTATGTAGTCCAATTATATTGGAGAGAAGGCTGACATCTCTACGGCTGATAACTCCAACACTCGGCAACTCACACCGAAACAATCTAGATTGATAAAAAGCACCACAGGTAAGAGGAAAAATATGTATTTTTGATTTTGGGGTGAGCTGTCCCTTTAAACCCTGCAGCAGACATGTCAGAACCACAGGCTGCTTTCCTTTAAATGTTATGCTTGTTAGTGAAACTGTATTCAGCCAATATGTTGCAGTAATGATCTGTAGCAATGACATTTTAATGTCACTGTTTTAAAATAACTTAAAATGCATTGTCAGGGTTTCCTCTATGTTTCAGCAGTTTAGTTTACCATTTGAATCTATAAAAAAGAAAACAGACTTTTAGTCCCCTGTGTGTGTCATGCTCCATTATAAGCTGGATTTTTCGCTTTATTCAATTCTTTTGAATTAATCTTATTTAATTAACCTTCCTGTCTTTCTGCCAAGAAAAGTTCCGTGAGCGTCGCAGAAGACGTGATACAACTGCATTCATATAAAATGCAGGGTGACAAAAAAAACAAATCAAAGTGAAAGATTGGTCTTGGTAGAGTTTAGCATGCGGTCATTGACTGTACATGGTATTTTTTGACCCCGGAGGAGACTCCTCATATCAGTCAATAGTCATGTCGACACAAACTGATTCGTTTTCTGTACTTCAGTCCAGATTGTTTCTTGTGTTTCAGGCCATATTTCGAGGGTCTGTCCCTCTCCAGCTCTCAGACGGAGATCGGCAGCATCCACAGCATCCGGAGCCACCGGGAGCCTCCGAGCCCGGTGAGAGCGAAGTCACTGCGACAGCACAGCGACACAACGTTTGAAACAATCCTGACTGAATTCAGCAGGGATTTCCTTCTGCGTAATTAGAACATGCAACTTCAGTTCATTTCACATGATATCACACTTTGTTTGCCTCCCAAACTGGGTCACTTGTGCCACAATGAAACATCTGGAGGCCTATCAGTGTAACCACTGAACTGCACCGATAGCCGATGAGAAAACGCACTGGAGCAGAAAGACGTCGATTATCCTGCTTAAGGGCGTCTTTTAGCGAAGTACAGAAGAGTAAAAGTCAGATTTTCCCATCGGTCTCGCAGGTTTAAACCAGTTATGAAGTGAGTTTGTTTATGAAACTGTCGGGCTTCCTGTTGAACCAACAAACCATCACGTTGATGTTGAATGAAACAATTCTTCATGTGAAATCAAAGTTCCTGGGGCTCCATCCAAACCAGGTGATGTTTATTGTTCTTCTCACCGTCTCATTCCAGATCGACCCGGATAAAACCAAGTGTGCTGGGGCCAAGTTTCCAGAGGACGGTGTGTCTGATAACGTCTCCTTTGTGAGTTTCAACTCTTCAAGCTGCTCAGGAGAGGGTTTTGACTGAATGGCATTGCTAAGCAACAGCTTGGTTTCATGTTTACTACCTGCCAGCTTACCGTGTGTGTGTATATAAATATATATATGAGAGAGAGACATCTTTGCTGTTACTGTTTGAGTGTGCAGAAACCCTGATCCAATTAGAGTAAATCATAATGAGTAACAACTTAAATCCTCAGGGACAGTTGAGACATTTATTGTGTGAACAAGTGTTTGATTTGAAAAGCATAAATGCATAAACACGTCTGTCAGCTCTGGAGTCATAAACCCTGCTGCTTGTTTCTCTCTCTCTCTCTTTGCTTTCTCTCAGGAGCAGCCCGAGGCGGTGACTCCGACCACAGAGCTGGAGATGGACAACATGGACACATTTCTAGAGCGACTGCCACCGAGTGGCAAAATGACCAAGACGGAGTCCCTAATCATTTCATCCAACAGGTAGAAATACATAAACATCAGTAATCCACTCCTTTAAATCATTGATCGACATCTGCAGGATGGTTTTTAAAGCTGACAGAAATCTTTATTATGGAAAGTCACAGAGAAGAACCTGACAGATGTATCACTAGGGTCTTTTAAAAGGGAAAATAGAAAATACATTTTTATTTTTATTGATATGAGTGGTTGTGTTGCTTCCTGTAATCATCTCCTCCAGATCAGAACAGGGTTTATGCTTCGAGTCGTTGACCATTACGTCACAGCCTCTGCTTCTGGCACTCCACTCCTCCACCTCTCTTCCTCTGCTGTTTTTTTTCAGGCAGGAACCGAAGTTGGCAGGGAGGCGAGGCAGGAGCACATCGCTGAAGGAGCGCCAGCCCAGCAGGCCGCAGAACGAGAGGGCCAACAGCCTGGACAACGAGCGGTCCCTGGACACGCGCTGCCACCTACAGGTAGGACGAGAGAGCTGCAGGAGAACCCAAAAGATATTGTACTTTCTATGGAACATAAAATACCAGTTATTATCACAAGCGTAGCCTCTTTACGCTCCATGATGTCTTATAGATTCAGCTTAAAACAACTCGGTCACTTCAAAGTTGTGTTCACTCTTTGTTCTTCATTTCATCAAACATATTTTATGGTCCCCTAAATTTTAAAATACATTTTAAGGTTTCTTATTTTTCCTTCGTAGATTCCAAGAAAGACAGTGTATGACCAACTCAACCACATTCTGGTGTCTGATAACCACCTCCCCGACAGCATCATCCTCATCAACACGTCAGACTGGCAGGGCCAGGTAAGAAACATCTGCACGACGAGCTTAAAATGGCTGCTTTTGTCGTAACACTTGCTTTTTATAACTTACCAGTCGAGCTGTGGGATAGACAATTTTTATCTTAGCACGGACGAGACACAACAGACAACAACAGTGCAGCACACACAGCGTTGAAAACAGGAATTAAAGATTTAAAAACATTGTTGGCATAAGATACAGTACATTTGCAGTAATACACGAAAATACTGTAAGAGGCAGATATTCCCAAGCAAATTACAAATACCAGTAGACTGGAAAAAAGGGAAAACAAACAAAACTCTCTATAAAATACAACCCTACATCTGATTCTTCCTCTCCTTCCCGCTCAGTATCTCTCAGATATGCTGCAAAACCACCACCTACCCGTGGTCTGCACCTGCACCACGGCCGACATCCAAGCTGCGTTCAACACTATTGTCTCCCGCATACAGAGATTGTAAGTGAACCTCTCACACGCTGACTTTCTTTGTCTGTCTTTTGCCATCGTGTATTCGCTTTTTCTCACAAAAGCTGTTGACCAAATTTGGTGTTATTGATTGTGAAACTGTACGCCTTCTATTTATTTTCTTTCCTAGTTGCAACTGTAACTCCCAGACGCCCATTCCCATAAAGATCGCAGTGGCCGGTGCGCAGCACTACCTCAGTGCTGTTCTGAGGCTTTTTGTGGACCACCTTTCCCATAAGACCCCTGACTGGCTCGGCTACATGAGGTTCCTTATCATCCCTCTTGGTTAGTAGCAGCCTAACGCTACATTTTTTGTTGTTGTTGTTGTTGTTGTTGTACTTAAAGGTGCTACATATGTTCAAACATGAGTATATGATTGTCAGATTAAAATTCAGCTAAATTAAAATGCTGTAGTTACTGAAAATTGATAAGATAATGGTGGAGACCTGTCTAGTAGTATTAGTGCTTCTCAAAATAATGTAACACTGCTTCTGCAACTGTTTGTCTTTGATCGGTTTAGGTGCACATCCGGTCTCCAAATATCTGGGCACTATTGACTATCGATACAACAGTTTGTTCCAAGATGCTGCCTGGAGGGATTTGTTTCACAAGCCAGAAGCTCCGGTTATTGGTGGGCTCTTAACTTCCTGACCTTTGAATTTGTACAGTTTTTATAAAGTCTTAAAGGAGTTAGGATTTAGTGGCATCTAGCGGTGAGGTTACAGATTGCAACCACCTGAATACTCCCTGCCTTTCCAACGGTGGCCTCCAGGTAACGTTAAAAACCAGATGGCAACCTCCGGTTCTGAAAAGGGAAGCCAATGTGGAAGAGCCTTAAACTTGCATTCTCTCTACTGGCCATCAGGGGGCGACTCCTCTGTTTGCAAAAAATTGTCAGATTGTATAGAAGTCTATGAGAAAATGACTCTACTTCTCACTTGATTTATTACCTCAGTAAAGATTGTAAACATGAGTTTATGGTCTCAAGCTCCAGTTCCAAGTCTTCTTCAATCCAGCATGATGTTCATTTGGTACATGATGGAACATTTAGAGTAAAATAGACCATAAAGTATGTATTCTTCAGGGTGGGGCTACCTTGTGATTGACCCCTATACTGTGTCTCTCTTTCACGGCTTCACTCCTCCGCAGTCCAAATATGGCGACGGCCAAAATGCCGAACTAAAGGCTTCAAAACTACAGTCCAAAGACCAATGGTTGACATTTCAACGACTACGTCCTTTTCTTATAAACAGTCTTTGGTAAATAATGCAAAAGGCTCTCTAGAGCCAGCGTTCGGTTTGTCCGTTCTGGGCTACTGTAGAAACATGGCGGTACAACATGGGGGGGGCTCTGTGAAGCGGACCCGCTCCTTATGTTGGATATAAACACCTCTTTCTAAGGTAACGAAAACACAACAGTGGTTAGTTTCAGGGGATTATACACGACTGAATATTCTATTCAATTTCTGCCAATAATTCCCCCCAAATCCTACACACGGTTCCTTACAATCAGGAAAAGTGGTCATTTTGAAGGATGAATTTGAACATCTTCATGAATGTTCATGTTTACAGTCAGCCGTAGAGAATTAATTAACCTCTGCGTCCTGTGCAGCCCAGCAGAACCCAGACGTGGTGTCGAGGGTAACTCAGTACATGGTGGGAGCTAACGGAGCTCACCAGCTTCCCATCGCGGAGGCCATGCTCACCTACAAACAGAAGAGGTATGTTTTCATCCCTCATTTAGTAACCTGAGAACATTTCACACTGAGCTGTACAGCAGTGGGACTTTGAAAGGGTTTTTTGTCAGCTACACTGGAAAAGCTTGAATTTTTAGTAAAGTGTGGGGGTTTCATCTAACAGGAAAAGCTTCTGATGCAGAGCTTTCAGCAGTTTTTCAAAAGGGGATTGAGTTGAACTGTAAACTCTTTGAACAATTCACGTGATACGTTAGCTGGCTTTCCAAAATACATTTCATACGTTTTTTGCAAATTTTTTAAATTCTGGCAAAATCACAAGTAGACAAGATGTACAAATCACTGCATATTTGCTTGCTTTCAAAATACATTAATCAGCAGGATTTTCAGAACGAAAACATATAATTTTGTTGCAATTTTTACGTTTAGACTTTTCTGTTCTTTTCACGACATTCTGTTCGTTCATTTAAATATATTTTTTAACCCCCTTTTGACAAAACAAACTGGAGGTAAAAGTTTCATTAATGTTGTGAAGTTTGTGTTTGTTTGGGAGTGGCGGTGTCTGTCTTTTAAACATCACTGTCTTTCCATCACTGTGTGTGTGAATAACATGTTTTTTTGATCTTTTTGTTACATTTTTTTCTTTTCTTTCTTTGAAGGAAAAAGAGCTTTCATTTTGATTTTGCAGTAAGGTATTGTGGTCGATTGAGTTTCTCATGTAGCCTGGTGATTCATGTGCTTTCTGTGTGTTGGAGCTATTTTTCCCTTGAACTTTTCTCAGCCTTTCTTGGAGCTTGCCACTTTAACAGCTGTCTAAAGTCATTCATTTTTTTTTTTTTTCCTATTAACAGTTTGAGCCATAAACTTCTCAGATAAGAGCGGCTATCCAGGCCACAGCTCACAGTTGTAACTAACACAAGCACACAGACACAGTTTGGGATTTATTGAACTAATTAAAACTGCGCCAGGGTCAAGTTTTTATTTAGAACAAAATAAATGTTTTCAGCCTAGACACAGTGTCATATAGCTACTAAGACACTCTAGCTTTGTCCTTTTTGTCCAGTTGAAATTGTGTTAGGTGCACCAATAACATATTATGTTGTATGAATAAAGAAAACATCATGAAAAAGGTTTTCTTGTAGTTAATCAGTGTCACATTGTTTCAATATATTAAAATCAGCTAAAAGTCAATCGCCACCCTTTTAGATAATCAGTGTTGACATTTATTCAAACTTTAACATGACATGTTTTCAACTTGGTTTCAATGTCAGGCTTCAATTCAATACTTCTGCCTGACAAAATTAGATTTAAATATATTTTGCTGGGAAGCTGCAGCCAACAGCTAAGTATGACAACTGGAAACAGCTGGCCTGAGTCTGTCCAAAGGTATCAAAAACGTCTAAAACTCACGAGATAAAAGCAGTTTGTAGTGTTATGGGGAGTTATATATGTGTTTGACTATTTCACTGTCATCTGCCGTGAAACGTGTTTTCCAGATTCTGCATTTTGGCAGATTTTGGACAGAGCCAGGCTAGCTGTTTCCCTTTTTTTTTACAGTCTTTATGCTAAGCTAAGCTAACCTGCTCCTGGCTGTAGCTTCATATTTACCATACAGACAGTGAGAATGATAAAGGTATGACATGATAACCCATGAATAAAATCAATCATCAATCTTTCCATCTAACGCACAGGGAAGAGAGAAAATAAGCGTTTTCCCAAAATGTTGAACTGCATACAATGCTTCATGCAGAAGTTGTATGCACATTTTCCAAACGATGAGTTTCTAGTCTCAATCCATCATCTGTGTGCTCTTGTTGTGAAGATTATTATTGTTGTCATTAATGACCATCAAAGAAAGACAATCCTTACTCCTCCAAACAGTCTTCATTGATAAGATATCAGAGGACTGAAGAGTAAAATGTGCTGATAAAGTGGCAAGAGACCAAATCCCATCAGCTCTGTGTTCCCTCTGTTTCTTCCTCGCTGCTGCTTCTCATCGTGCTTTTGGCCGTCCATGTCTGTCTGTTATTGTTCAGTTAGAAGTAGAAAACCTGCACACAACGTCAAATTGTGATTAGTACTTTTTTATTTTGTGATTGAATGACAAACCTGAATCGGGATCGACATTTAAGTTACTTGTTTGGTTCAATGTAGTAACGTCACCATCAAATGAACAACTGTACTGTCCTCAGTGCTAAAGGGCCTGTTTTTAAATTATATTAATAGCTTCAAATATATATTCATTGACAAAATTGTACGCTCAATGTCTATTTTTAGCAGGTGGAACTAACTGTTGTTTTTCACATCAGATATTAAGCTTAAAAAAGTACTTTGTTACAGAAAAAAAGACTTGTTTGTGTTTCAACTGAGCTTTGCTAGTGCCCCTATAATTACTACCAAATTATATACGTGTAGTTCTTTAAAGGAAAGAGATTAGACAGAAAATGGTGGACCTGTAAAATAAAGTGTTACGATTCTTTGACTTGGCTAAAGCTTATACAAAATACTAACTGTGTATAGAAACTGCAGAATACAAACATGCCATGAAGGTGTATCAATGGAAATATTTACAACACGAAAATACATTTTCACAAAGTGCTTTGCATTAAAACAAGGAATAAAAAAGTACTTAAAATCCAATATGTAAAAGATAAAATGATGATTATGAATGATGATTTAAAAGCAATTACAACACATTTTCAGTTAAAATAAGGATCAGTTTTAAGAAGAGATTTAAAGGAGATACTGACTGTCAGTCTGAGATCACAGCTAAGGGGCCTGGACACCCTCATAGGAAGGCCCCTCTTATTAAACATAAATGCAATAAATAAATAAAAGATAATAACGTTGACTTACAGTCAGTAATGTACAATACAAACATTAAAAAGATACTAATACAAGTTATTCTGTCCTTTAACTGAAAAGTGCATGTGTTCTGTTCATACGTGGATCGACGTGCATGTGCATCTTTTAACAATACATCCCACATTTAAGATGACATATGGCTCAAACAAGTCAGACAGAAGTCATGTGTTCTGTCATAATCCATCCCTGCAAGGCCAGATGAACATTTAACACCCACATACCAGGCAGACATCTGGCTTTCTCTCTTTCTCTGGCTGCGCCGAAAAACCCGATTACAGCAGAGATGTGTTGTTGTGTTTGGGGAAGCAGAACGTGGCCTTGATGTGCAAACTGTGACCCACTGCAGACTGTCTTCTCTCTTTCTCTCTCTGTAGTCTGTCTGTTTCTTCCTTGGGGGGGCGATGGCAGGTTTCTTCAAGGCAAGAGCAACAACCTTTCACATCATGTAACGTCTTTGCATTTAGAAAAACAACAACATAGAACCATCCTTCAGGCTATTTTTCCGGTCTTTGCCAGGAAAAATAGTTCCAGGAAGGCTTGTAAGTGTAGCCATGCACTACCGCTCTCAGGTAGTGCATGGAACCGGAGAAGTTGTGGATTTAGGTTGATGCTCTTCCTTCTCATCCACTTCTTTACGACTGTAGTTTAGTTGTTCTCCCGATGGGCTTGCTTTCCCCTTGAATGCCCTTCTGGTTTGGTAGATCCAGTCTGCGTCTGCAATAACTGGATGGCTTTGTTGGAGGCACCGAATCGGCCACCAGCTTGCATGTTTTGCTCTCTGCTACAACGAGGGAACTAAATCTGTTTTAGTGGAGGTTTAAAGCTCAGCAGCAAGTTCAGCATGCGCTGTTGATTCTGTTTGGACTGTGGTAGCTTTGCAAACTTTCTGTGCAATGGAAGACTTCAGTATTTCCACATGTGAAACATTGGAAATCATGCATTATCAAACTAATTGCCAGATCTCAATGTTACTAACTGTAGATTTCTTTGAATAATCTTTAATGATCTTTTACTTTTCACAAGCATTTGGAAATGCTTGTAGGAGTCAGTCCTCTTTGATTCAATTACCTACAACCGTTCTACTTTTTTGCTGCCCTTTTTTATTCTTTATATATATATTGTCTTGTTTATTGTAAATTTGTGTTTGTACATTGAGAGCGGAGTGGAAACCGGAGACAAATTCCATGTATGCGTAAGCATACATGGCCAATAAAGCTGATTCTGATTCTGATGTTTCATCATGTGCATCATTTCTTTCCTTTTCTTCACAACACATTGATTCTTTTCTTGCATCCTTTTCATGTGAACTCTCTTTTGGCCTCTGCTGCCTCTCCACAGCCCGGATGAGGACTCGTGTCAGAAATTCATCCCCTTCATTGGGGTAAGTAGCCTCTTCATTTGCCCTAAATACTCACTGTGTGTTGATTCTGTCCTCATCCAGCTGATTAATCATGTTTGACACTGACACAGCTGTTAGAAGTTTTCAGTGTCTTTTCATAGTTTTTTTTAATACACGTAATAATCCTTTATCCTCTGCTTTGAATTCTGCAGATGGTGAAAGTTGGTCTCTTGGAGCAAACGTCTGCAACGTCAGGCAAGCAATAAGTTTGTAGAAACATTTTTGACATTTAAAAGAAAGAAAAAAGTATTCAAATTGTGCAACAAGTAATCTGCACAAAACAAACAAAAAACTGATTTCTCCACCACAGTATTTTCTTTTTGGAGGTAAATGATTGAGTGTTTCCTCCCTCAGGAGACTCTGACGATGCAGCACCTCTGGGCTCCTCGCTGCTCTCCTCCACCCCTCCACAAGTATCACCGGCTCTCAAAGAGGCGTCACCCACCCCACCCTCCTCTCCCTCCGTCACCACCAGCTTCTGTGCCTACAGGTATGAAGTCAAGAGCTATTTCAGCAAAATAGAGCAAAAAATGTGACCTTTTTCTTTATTTTATACATGTTTAAGCAGGTGTAGTAAATAGATGATATAAAAACTTAAAAGTATGTCATGATATTGTATTTTTCTACCAGAGAAGATACTTTTTTTTTTTTAGCATGATAGTGTTATCTACCTCCTTATATTTTCAGATTTAGCTACTTGAACTCTCCCGAGTTATTCTATTAAAAAAAGAGAAACATTCTCCACAATGTCCACCTCCCTGACTGTCGTCTGTAGTTCTGTAGGTCAGGCGGAGCTGATGGGGCTTCAGGTGGACTACTGGGTGGCTCCAACAGAGAGGAAGAAGGACATGGAGAAGCGGGACTCCTCCTCCAAAAACACTCTGAAGTGCAATTTCCGCTCGCTGCAGGTCAGCCGGCTGCCCCTGGGGGGCGCGGAGCCGAGCCACCAGCCCACCATGTCCATGACTGTGGTGACCAAGGAGAAGAATAAAAAGGGTAAACTGGACACACCTGTGTTGTCCAGGTGGACGGATGCATGCATGTTTCTGTGGGTGTGTTAGTTTCTGACTGCAGTAAAGTAGTAGTCCACCTCAAAATGACATTACATTACGTTTTAAAGCAGCTGACATCAGGGATGAAAAGTGTGGAAGAATCATATTTTTAGGATAGGTCACCGAACTTCATGCGATCTGATCAAATCTCTTACCATCCGACCTCAAACGTTGCACCAAAACGTCCCCCGAATTTAATCCTCTGAGACCAGAAAGATTCTGAATCCCTCATTTACTCACAGCGTGCATATCTCTGTTGTTCCCTTCTGCCAGTCATGTTCCTGCCAAAAAAGAGCAAAGACAAGGAGGTGGAGTCGAAGAGTCAAGTGATCGAGGGCATCAGCCGGCTCATCTGCACTGCCAAGCAACAGCAGACCATGCTGAGAGGTAAACCGACCCCCTGCCCCGTCCTGACATGTCCTCCTCCTCTCTACAGCACAGACATCCTCAGACTGATCTCAATACCTGCATATTATGTATTTTTAACTGTACTTATTTGTGTAATTTTCCAGTAAAAATGCTCTTCATACTTAAAACTTAGAAAATATTGGTTTAGTTTGGCAACTAACAGAAAATTTATCAACAACTCTTAATGAAATAATTGTTTCTTCATTTAAGTAAGTAAGCAAGTAAGTAAGTAATGTATGCACAACCTACACTGCTCACAATAGGCCGCCAAAAAATAATCAAATGATTAATCATGCCGCTTAAATGAAAAAACATTAGGAACGTGTGTATAATATTCAGTTGGAACTCTGGGTTGTTCAGTATAACATTAACTCCTGTAATGAAAGTGTAACTTTTGTTTTGCGTCTCTTCCTCTGCAGTATTGATTGACGGCGTCGAATGGAACGACGTCAAGTTTTTCCAGCTGGCGGCACAGTGGTCCTCACACGTCAAACATTTCCCCATCGGGATCTTTGGGCACACAAAAGGCCCTTACTAGCAGCACCTAAAAGACTGAAACACTGAGGACAGCCCCCCCCCATCTTCCCTTTATCCCGTGCCAACAGATTTTAACCCCCCGCACACTTCTTCTATTCTGCTGTCTTAATTTAAGCTCCTGCTTTCAGCTGTTGCATTTGTCCAATTATTTAATGTTTTGCGTGTTCTTTTTTTAATTTTCTATTTATGGAAAAATGTCTCGAGGCAAAGCTGCCGAGGGAATATTTCTTTACTCAGCTTTTTAAAAGAAAAAAGATCATTCTGATGTTTTCTAGACTTTTGAGAAAAACAAATTAAATAATAATTAGTCATTACTTCTAATCTTTAACATACTCGTATGAGTGCCCAGGTTTCACCTTCTACCATCATTTATTTTTAAATTAGGTGAGGCTTTTTTAATCAATTGGCTGGGACATTTAATCAAGAATATATATATATGTATATATTTCATTATACATATATATGTATATAGACATATATAGGTAAATATGTCTATATATAGGTATATATATAATTGTCAACTCAAAGATGATGAAGAAATTTGTGATTTTCAAGTTGGGAGACTGTTGTCAATTCATTGTCTTAATCCTGAAGAAGCAAAAAGTAAATGGCCCCTGAGCTTTGGCTCTCTGCAATCAACTAGGAGTCTTATGTGAAATAGACTGAAAACTGTGTGAATGTGATTCTTAATAATTACCTGGCACTGACCGAGAATTACACACTGCTCTCAGTCGTGATTTTCAACCCCTTCTCTTCTCTATTTTCTCCTCATGGTTTGAGGTTTTGAACAGTTTTGCTCCAAAGTGAGACATATGAGAAAATAGTGAAGAAAAGTATTAATAGCACAAAATTAACTACCTTTTAGATTGTAGTCCGGACAGAAAGAAATACATTGACATTTCGGGTATTTTGCTTTCTTTCTGAGAGTTGGATAAGAAGATTGTTACCACCCTAATGTCTTTACAGTAAATATGTGGCTAGAGCCAGCAGTCGGTTAGCTTAGCTTAGCATAAAGGCTGAAAACAGCGGGAAAGAGCTAGCTCTGTCCAAAGGTAAAAATCTGCCTATCAGCGCCTCTTACGCTCATTGATAAATATGAATGGTCTTGTTTGAGTGTAAAACTACATGTTGTGGATTTACGATTGGATTTAAAGGAAAATAGTCTGGCACAAAACCCCCAAAACACAATTTGTCATCTTATATTCTTAAGTATCCAGAAAAGAGACAAAACGCACAATAAAGACAAAACACACAATAAACAAAAGTGAATTTGACTGATAGTATTACTATATTTTTACATTTTCTGTAGATGTTGCAGTAATATCGTTATCGTGGATTATTTTTGGCCTACTGTGGACCTTCCCCGTTTCCAGCTAAACTAAGCTAACTGGCTACTGACAAACAGCTAGCCTAGCTATGATCACAAAATAATCCACCCACTAGTATCTGTAAAGCTCACAAATTAACACGTTATATCTCCTTTGTTCAACCTATACAAAAAAACTGAGTTGTGGTTTTACACTGAGCCAGGCTAGCTGTTTTCCCCCGTTTCCAGTCTTTGTGCTAAGCTAAGCTAATCGTCTGGTAGCCGTAGCTTCATGTAGCTACCAGAGATCTTCCCATCTAACTCTCGTTAAGAAAGCCAATATATTTATTATCCAAAATGTTTAACTGTTCCTTGACGCTTGTTTTATAAGATGCTACACATTTTACAGAGTGGTTCCTCTGCAAATGATTTTTATTCCCCCTACAATGTTTATTTTAGAAAGAACTCTTCGTCCTCTAGCTCCACACTCCTTTGACACACTCCATATCTTTTGCTAAAAGCAAACATTACTTTTGCCAAAGGAAAACTCGTCAACTGCAGCTCACTCATTACCTGTGTGGTATTATAGAAGACTTCATAATGTAGAGGTGAATGTATTGAAGGTACCTTAATGTAAAGCACTTTTAAATGTTTGTCCATTGTAGACTAGTGTGTTAAACCTACTCGGGAACCTGCAGGTACGGCTGACTGTGGTTCACAGACGCACATAGACAGACACTGTGTCTGCCATTATATCTGAGCTAAACAACAGCACAAACAGCGGTGACATGGCATAGTTTATATGCAAAGCAAACCAAGCGTCTGTATCCTCACAGTGCTGTGTAATATCACTTTATGCTCAGCGTGAGGCCTCCTTGGATTTAGATTTTAGTTTGATATTCTGTAAAGTTATGTGTATGTGAAAAAATGTTCTGTCGGTAGATTTTGCTCAATCGTTTGTTGACTTTTAAGCATAAAACTAAAAAGTATTTTGCTGGTAAAATTTATTTCATTCGCAGTTTTATCATAACTTTGCCAATTTCTTGATAAGTGCCTAAATTGCTTAATTTTGACAAATCAACATAAATAATTTGTTCTTTGCTAACATGGTGCTGATTCTGTTCGGACGACAACAAAATATCCAGATACAGTGGATTGATTTTGCAGTATAATGTTAACTGGAGGGACGGAAAAATCACAGTTGGCTCTCAAACATGGGTTTGAATCAATTACAAGACGACTACAGCCCATTCGCATTGAGCAGACATTTGTTTAAAATGTTTTAGATGTTTCTGTTTTTTCATGTTGTCTCAGAGAAAGGCTTGTTGAAACTGAAAGTCCCCTAAAGACTACCACTGTAACCCCAAAACTTGGAGTAATAAAACTACTATACACACTAAAATGTACTTTTCTTTTCACTCGTGTTTACATGTAAATTTAAAGGTCAGTGAAGGCAACATAAGCATGAAAACCAATAAAAAAAGTAGTCTTTAAAAACAATGTTATTTCCTGAGGCTCAAAGAGAAAACAATTTACCACAAGGTCCTGAGCTGTCAGTCATATCTCATGATCTTCATCAACAGAACAGCTACTAAATGGACTTAACTACTGTTTATAAGGTCAAGAATTAACTTTGAACTTCAGCTTTCAAGACACAAAGCTTAAAAGCTAAAAAAAAACATCTTTGAACATCTATGATTTCAGTAGGTACAAGTTAAAACATACTATATATGATATTAATTAAACTACCCAACCTAGTTTATACAAGTAAAGCTGAAACGATAAGTTGATTGACAGAAAATAAATAAATTTGGGAACTATTGTGTAATTGTTTAAGTCAATTTTCATGCAAAAACATTACATGGTTCCAGCTTTACAATTGTGCAGATTTGCTTATTTAATTGAATATTTTCTGTACTATTAGTTGGACAAAACAAACAATGTGTCACTTTGGGTTAAGGGGTAATTGTGACGGCATTTATTAAGTTTGATGTCCTGTACAAACTATTTTAAAAACAGAAAAACCCTGTTTCTACATGAATGCATGAGTAATAATAATCTAATGACATTATATAAAATAGTAACTTACTTTAAGTTAATTTTCCTGATACTTAACTACATACTTAGGTAACTGTTTTAATGCAGTACTTTTACGTATAATAGGTATAGGCTAGTGAGTATTTACTGTGTGTCATTAGGCTGGTGGTGAGTGACAGAGAGAGAGATACACACACACACACACACACACACACACACACACACACACACAGATAGAGAGAGAGAGAGCTCCTCCACCGGAGCAGGAAGCGGCTACTGGGACTGCCGAGAAGACAGAGAGGAGGTACAAAACAACGTCGACATCTGCGGGGTTTCCACCATAATGTAGCCCCAAACACTGAGCAAGAACAGCCGTGCGCCACATCGACCCGACAACAACACGACGAGATGTCGAGGGTGCAGCGGTGAAAACAAAGGACAGAGCCGTATACATCTGTGTTGTTTGTTTGTTGTTGCACGGTGACAATGAAGGAGCTGCAGGGCTGCGGTATGCGCTCCTCGGTGGGCTTTCTGTCCCGCAGAGAGCTGACCGGGCAGCCGCTCTTGAAGGAGGAATTCCAGAGACGCAGGATGGCCGGCTGCACCAGCCTCTACAAGAAGGACATGCTCGGTCACTTCGGCTGTGTCAACGCCATTGAGTTCTCCAACAACGGCGGGGAATGGCTCGTGTCCGGTAAGTTGACACATCCCTCTTTCCACCTTCCTTGTGGCTGAGACTGTGATAATGTGTTAGCATGCTAAGGCTAACTTAGCCAGGCAGTCAGCTGAACCCCCCCCC